AAAGATAACATGAAAATATGTATATAAAATACCAAAAAACATGGTTATTGGTTACTATAGTTAAACCATGGTAAAAACAACATGTTTTGCTACACTAGCAATAGTTTAACCATGGTATTTGTAGTAAAACTGTGGTTATAGGCTACAATTGGTAATAAAAACGCCCAAAAAAAAAAAAAACATGGTTAGCCTCCTATACTTTTACTATAGTAATACCATTGCTAATTTTCGTAAGGGATTGTGTATAATGATATGAAATAAATGTTTTAATAGATTATGACATCACAAAATATCAGGGAGTGAGATTTATTTGATTGTGATGCGAAGGAGGGTTATTGTAAGCCCCATCAGAAATGGGTTGCGGTGCAGGGGGAGGGACTAATGACAGATCATTGCAGGGTAAGTAGTGTAGCCTATCTGTGCTACCCGCTCAGTGCTACCTCCGGTAGTCTGCCTGTTTATTAGTCATATACATTTAAAGATCAGTTTTTTTTTGAACTTATTATTGGTACAGAACGCCACACAGCAACTTTTCGGCATTGCACCAAGCAAAAATCAGTCGAAATCATCACAAAAAGTAAATATCAAGCGCCTAACAAGGTCTCCACGCGTTAATTCGAATGGTTTGTTTTCCCCCACGGCATAAATGGTTGACTTTTTTGTGGGCGTTCCCAGCAACGCCGAACAAGTCTATGACACTAACAAATATCTGTAGGCCTAATTAATGCATTTTGAGCAGGTAGCTTTTGTTTTGGCTCATTGAAAATAAGTTATAAAATACGCAACGTTAAAAAAGTTAAATATCTTACCTGTTGAGCAAGAAAAAGGCCATCTCTGGGTTCGTTTGAAATCTTCTGAAGTTACCGTCATCTCTGAAAAGCAGTCCGATATCCATACGAGTTATGTTAATTAAGGGCTGTGTGATTTTGCGCTTTTTGATTGTACTGTACGCTATTCTCTGAACGAGGTTTCTGTTTTAACAGATGGTTGAACGATCATTTGTGCTAATGTTGCTTATTACTAATGCCTACAAGCTGTTGGAACTACGAACAATGCGCATTGCGCTCAATAGCCTGACCTTCTTTTTGTTTACGGACGTGACCTAACCACGCAGACAAATGGCGGGAAAAAAAATAGGTATTTCCGCAATTTTCGACCCAACAACTCAAATTATAAATCATTATTTTACATGTACTGTTTTTAATCTATGTAAGGCAAGGGTTTTTTTTACCTACTTGGTTAATAGATATGTGCTAACTGTTATACTTAATGAAATGTGTAATGAAAATACACATTTGGGACTTTTAACAGGCGCTTTTAATCCGAAACAACTTCTATTGCATTCAAGATCTACATTTATCAGTTTCTGCATCCCCTGGGAATCAAACCCTTGGCTTTGCAGACTTTCTCTAGTAGTGAAAGAATCCAATTATTACCACAACCCACATTACAGTAGCCTTTCTGTACATCACATTGCAAACTGTAAAGTTTCCAGAGAATAAAGCAGTGACAAGGTGAAAACTCTTGATTCCTGAAGACAAATAGGGGGTGAGCTGCATTTAAAGGTTGCCATGTCCTTTCCTTCTGTACAATACAGTGAGATGTGCAAGTATGAATCACACACACACCTCAAGCTTTAGGAAACACATGGATGCCAGGGACACAACTAATCTCATTGTACGTCTAAAAAAGCTGATGTTTAGAGGGTTGATTCAGAACATTGTGGCTGTCAGCATAAAAAAAGTCTATAGTTTTAGACAAATCCGCTACTAATGAGTTCAAAGCAACACGTCCCTCAAGCCCTGTTCATAATCCACTTATATAAGTGTTTTTTCTCTACGTTTTTTGAGAACACAAGCAAACAATGTGCCAAACAGCCATAATAGTTCATGCTGAACACCAACTAATTCGTCGAACTCTGTTCTTCATTGAAATGCTTCAACATCAAGTTGGCAAGCACCCTAAACAAAGATCAACACTGAAGCTAAGTACTGAACTTAAAGTGATCTTAATGAGTTTGGTGAAGTTGTGCTTTTTTTTTTGCAGAACAGATTTGGAGAAATTGAACATTACATCACTTGTTCACCAGTGGATCCTCTGCAGTGAATGGGTGCCGTCAGAATGAGAGTCTAATGGTTAGAGAGTCGGACTTGTAACCCAAAGGTCGCAGGTTCGAGTCTTGGTACCCGGCAGGGATTGTAGGGGGAGTGAATGACCAGCGCTCTCTTCCACCCTCAATACCACAACTGAGGTGAGACCCTTGAGAAACTTGGATGAGTTAAATACAGAGCATGAAATCCGAGTATGGTATGTCACGTCACTTCAGTTTCACATACACTTCAAACCATTTCTTCCAGCTAAAACACGAGTCCTCTATTGATAACATTGCTTTCAGCAGTGAAAGTCATCTAATCTGAATCAGGAGAGAAATATGCACAGATCAAGCACTGTTTACAAATGAAAACAGTTCTAAACAAATATGTGGATGGATTGTGATGCAAGAGACAACAGGGGATCGAGTTTTTCACTGGAGGAAGCATTATTATGGATTATGGACTTGTATTTTGGCAAGAAGCGACGGTTTGAGGTCGATGGATTTGTTTCTTACAAACACGCAGCTTTTCACTTCACAAGACATTAACTGATGGACTGGAGTGGTGTGGATTACTTGTGGATTATTGTGATGTTTTTATCAGCTGTTTGGACTCTCATTCTGACGGCACCCATTCACTGCAGAGGATCCATTGGAGAGCAAGAGATGGAATGCTACGTTTCTCAAAATCTGTTCTAATGAAGATACAAACTGGTCTTGGATGGCCTGAGGATGAGTACATTTTCAGCAAATTTTAATTTTTGAGTGAACTCTTCCTTTAATATAAGAGCATTTTGACCTGGCATAACGCGTGTGCATGGGATCTTACCTTGACTTCGATTGAGACAGGAGCCATTTTCAAGACAAAAACACCTACTCAATTGTAAGAATATTTGACATTTTACCCTTTGTATTGAGCTCGTTTAGTTGAAAACCTTCAGATTATTTAGTCTTGAATGAGGGGTGAAAATCAATGAAGCAAGAAAGAAACAATTAAGAACACAGAGTCATTCAATACCACAGGTATTTCACTCGTATTATTAAACTGTATTCACATTACAACATCCACAATGTTCAGCTTGTGACAGGTTCTAATAATCTCAATATATATTTTCTGTATGTTACATTATACCAAGAGGCACTTCCAGTAAGTCTGGCAATAGAGGAGCTACAGTATAGTGTCTAAATTACAAAACAGTAAAAATAAATAATGTTTATCTAAAAGACTTCTGTTGTCGTCTTCATCATTTTGTCCCTTTTTTTGGCTTTGTTTTTGTTTTGTTTCATTTTTAACCTGTACACAATATCATTTTGTACAAAATGGAACAACAATCAGCGATAAAATGAATATTTCACTTTACGAATACTGGTGATTTACACAGTTTCCCTTTCTATAGGTATTGCTACATGTGTTAAGTGCAAGATACAAGTGAGAAGAAAAATAATTATTTTGTCAGTGAAGTGCCGACTATATAAAAAAAAAAAGTACAAGTCTCATTTCTCTTTCTCAGAGAGGTGTAAAGCTTGTTTGGTTCTCAAGGTGAACGAAACGAGTGGACACGGTTATGAGATGCGTACAGCTGAAGATGAAGGAATGAGCGTTGAACAGGAAATACAAAGGAAAAATATAAAAGGATCAGCCTCTTATGTGAAGTGTAACCTCTTTAAGTCTCGTGTCGACATCCGGTGAACCTGGCATGCCAGTCAAACCGCCTATACTGACAATCAAAAAGATTTGGAATGATGAACCAAGCTTATCAGACTACACTTTACACACAAACTAGCAAGTTGTGCATTTCTGTAATACCTGCACAGGTTTTTTAGCCGAACTGTACAGACTCTAATTTATTTCACTCCTAAGGGCATCTGCTACGTTTAAAAAAACAAAACATGAATTTAGTGAAAATGCCATTATGAACCCATTCAAACAGTTTCTGAAGATTTGTGCTGCCCATTCTGACTCCAGAATCTGGAATCAGAGCCACCGAACGCAGATCAGAGCTGAAAACCCACTGATGGGAGGCACGGTGGAGGACAGAGGCGCATGCTGCCATGCCAACACGCGCAATCATGCAGTGCACGCACGAGCGAGCGCATCAAACGTGTAGGATTCGCTGGCTAATTCCACAGTTTTTGTTGAGTCTCTCTGAATACTGTCTGGGTGGAAGCAAATCTGGGCATCTTTGATGATTCTGGGTTTGAAACATTTTGAGACATCAATATCAATGACCTTTGATCGTCAAAAACTCGCAGTAAGGTAATGACATAAATTTCTCAAACGGAGCAAAAGTAAGATGAAAGGGGCGGAGCTATATTGCATAATAGATTCTTCCATAATGTCACATATTTCTTAGTGAAATTGGGAAATAATGTATTTTATTCCTCAAGATTTGATTGAAGGTTATGATATTATTTTGGGAAATATACAGCGAAAACAACTAATTTAACACTTTGATGCATGATGTCCACTGTAGTGGACAGATCTTTAAAAGCAATTTTTAAGGCGATAACCCTTATCCATAATTCATTGTGACAATCCTTTTTTTATGTTTTATTATGGCAACATAAATTCAAAATGGCAAACAAAAACGATGCACCACATAACAATCACTACCTTTTATTGCAATGCTCAGTAACACTCTCAAATGCATTATTTAAAAAAAAAAAAAGACTAGGAATTAATATATTTTTGTTTTTAAAAAGTAATAAAAACATTATAGTTTTATTTGTGATTTAATAATTAATGCACCAAAGGGTTAATATCTCTTGCTTGGGGTATGATGGTTTATTTAGGGGGATTTTATTATTACGATAAGTTCATTTTATTTTGGGAAATACACAGCGAAGACACCTGTATAATTTGATGCAAGATGTCCACTACACTAGACAGTCATTTTTAAGGTGTTGACTTTTAACCCTTATCCATAATTCATTGTGACAATCCTTTTTAAAGTTTCTGCTTTATGGCAACCTAAATTCAAAATGGCAAACAAAAGTGATGCACCACATAACAACTACTATCTCTTATTGCAGTGGACTGTAACGCTCTCAAAATGCGTTATTGGACTGGGAATTAATATATTTTTGTTTTAAAAAAGGTATTAAAAACATTAAGACTATTTTAATTTGTGATTTAATAACTCATGCACCAAAGGGTTAATATCTCTGGCCTGGGGTTACAAATCTATGGCCTAATGCAGAAATATAATATACCCTCTAAAATTGGGGCCATGTACAAATAAAAAGCACTCATACTGCATCGCCACACGTACTCACAAGCACACACGGCCTTTACATGCTCCTGATGATGTTTCATACTTTGGGGAGAATGGATTTGAAGTCATATTTGGCACACGCACACTTGAGCTATGTGAGATTTACACAGCAACCAAAAGAAAGTGCAACTGGAAATGCTACCAATCTGCTGTACACATTGGGTCGGTATTGCTTAAATAATTCGCCGGACTTCATTGCACCACATTGCCTGATAATATTAAGGCTTACACTGCATTGCGATTGAAGGGGACGTTTCAAAGATGAGCACATGACCGCCGCGTCCTACCTAGGCGTTTTTAATAGGCTCTCCTTCAAAGTGACTGAAGGCGTCCGATTAGACATCGGGCCCGAGGCGATGAAGCCCGCAGAAGTGTTTCATCTCGCCGTTGAGAGCAATCTGCCTCTTTCGGCACATCAAAGGCGAGCGCGGACAGCCGTGTCGACCGGTGCGCGTATCTCATGTGCGGCACATGGTCTCATGTGAGAGGGACGTAGTTCGTCGTTTCATCCCTTGGGCTGAGGAGCTCGCAGTCGCTCACACGCCTGCCTGCATCACCACAGCGGCGGCTGCGTGAGACGACTGTGAAGCATAACCACGGCCTTGTTCGGAGGGAAAACATGCGACTTGCTAGAGCAGTTTACTTGGCTCTCAAAACTAAATTAAATGCAAGAACAGAAGGGGGGAGAATAAGAGCGTCTGTAGTTTTGGACGGTACACTGATGACTAGGGATGACCTGATGCACTATTGCACGCCGTATGCATGTGTATATATATCAAATCATCTGGTAAAACAACGATTGGGCTAAAAGGCCATTGGCATTTTGAAGAAGTTACAGTTTAAAAAACAACTAAAGATACCCTTTGTCCACAAATCAAGATCCAAAAGATTATAAAGTTGCAAGAAAGTCTGTAAAAACCAATGACAGTTATCCGAAAACAGTCTGATCCCGAGAAACATAAAATCTCAGTTCATGGAATGCCGAGGGAAAAAGGTAAAGGGAAGAGAATGACAAGCATTCGGCTCGATGCCTTCAGAAATGAGACTGGAGCAAGCGCTTGCTATAGTGATGCTCTGGAAAGGAAAAACAAAGAGCAATGGCAGGACAGACACGCAAATACATAGTGTATCTTTTTGTAGCATTTTCACAAACGCATGCAGTTTCTGGAGCGTTTGCTTTCGTCCGCTGCCGATGCTGGGATACGCGAACCGGCGAGAGTCACGGTGGATTGGTTTCTCATCCCGACTTTGACGCTAAGCTCCTTGGAAATGCTTGTTGAGCCTGCAAAACGTGTCGCCGCAGATCATTGGGACCCCTGTCGTAGTTTTGGGGGTTAAGGTGCAGCTGGAGAGGGTTTCGCCAGAAGAATTTGCAAAACTGACCAACGTAAGTCTAGAATATATAGGAAACCCCCTGGAGAACTCTATTTTAGCATCAAACCTCAATAGTTCACCACCTGCTCATTGTTACTCAAACCCTCCATCCCGAACCACCCCACCCCACCCTGTTTCCTTTAGGCACATGTTCCCCAAGCATCTACAGTGTTGTGTCTAAGTGATGTGCTGGCAACCATTTCTTAGAAGTCTCGCTTGCTGATAAAAAGCTTTTAGACAACGTCTAAAAAGGGCAAGTCATTCGTTCCGGATCCTCTTTTTCGTCTTCCTCTCGTTTTCCCATTAGCACCGCATCGTCTTCTACAGTCACCGTGTCTCGCTTCGCAGTCTCGGCCGCTTCCTCTACAGTCTCACTATCTGTTTCCTCTGTTTCATGTGTCTCGTCAGGTACAGGACTCTCCTCCTCCTCCGTTGTCTCCTCCTCCTGGTCGTCTGCAGGCTCCTCCTTGCTCCCTGGCTCCTCCTCCTCCTCATCGATGGCTAGGATTGGCTCAGGGGTGTTAGTGAGGCATGTGGACTCCTCCCCTTCTGTCTGGCTTTGGGACTCTTCTGCAATGACCTTCTTCCACATCTCATGGTTCTCCAGCAGGTGCTGGGTGATCTGGCAGAACACTTTCCGTCGTTTCTTGGGTGCTGGTTTCTCTACAGTAAACACAGTAAATAAAGAGAGTGTTAATGGGTTTTTCAGACTAAGAACTTTGAACTATGATTTTTGTTTTTGTAAAGAAATGTTGCATATATATATGTATATATATATATATATATATATACATATACACTGTATATATGCGTGTGTGTGTGTGTGTGATGCGATCTAGGAAAACCCAACACATGGTGAAATTTTCCTTTTATAGGTTTTGATACCATATGAAAGCTGGGTTCAAGCCTTTTCCAAAACTGGTTATCTGAAGTTGGCTGATAGCTATAATTTTCCGGAATGGAATTTTGAGAAAAACGGTTTAAAGTGAGACGGGTTTCACTTTCACTTCTACTTAACGATCGCTGTCTGTCAGGAGTACTATAGGCCTACTGCATCATTACACAAACAGACTAACGTTACCCTGAAGAGGATTTTTCCGTTGTTTATCATGATGGGCATAGTCTCTGAACTTTTGATCACCCCTTGTATGTTTAGATAGCACCAATAGTGTACCTAGTAGTTTACATTTAGAAAAGCGAGCGCAGCGCACCTGTTCATATAACAAACAGACTGTCATCGGACTCCTCCTCTTTAGTAACTTTATCATCCGATCCTTCATCTCTGGATGTGAAATAGTCCATTATAACATCTTTTAGGGCACTGACATCACTAAGATTGAGCAGACTGAGACGAACAAGATCGTCTAGTTAGCAGCTTAAGACTACGTAGTTTTCTTGCGCTCCGCTATCTCACGATATTTAAAAAAAATAATACATTTAAAAAAAACTTTGTGTGCCGTAGTTTACACAGGACTGGCGGGAAATGTGCATTGATGCGCCTTTATTATATATGTTACGTGGTTTATTTTGATAGGTTAACTCGTTGTTCTCTTGCGCTCCGTCATCTCACAAAAACGTTGAATTAAAAAAAACTTTGCGTGCCGTAGTTTACACAGGACTCGCAGGAAATGTGCATTGATACACCTTCTTTCTACATGTTATGTGGTTTATTTTGATAGGTGAACTGTCTTTGTAGTGTTAAGGGAAAGCACCTCCGCAGCGCGTGTTCTTAAACATTAGAGAAAGACAGTCTTTTCAGCATGCCACAATAAATCGCAAATTTTCTGCACTAAACAAGTGAATTTTGCCAAGATATTTTCAGAGATGATAGACAAGATGTTATAGAATAATAACTGAATGAAACCGTAATTTTGACAAAAAAAATCGACATTCGACCTATTTTTCGAATTTCCTGAAAACGTCCCAGCGCGACATCCGACGGGTTTTCCCGGATCGCATCACATATATATGTGGTCCAGGGTCACACACACACACACACACACACATATATATATATAAATCAGACATGCAATGTGTCTTAATTTCTTACATACACATTGATCCACATATATAATAATTAATATTGATAAGATAAATATTTAAATAGCAGCTTTAAGTGATGGTTTTTATTTTTTATAGAGAAATGTTGCATATAAGTAAAAAAATAAGACAAGCAATGTGTCTTTATTTCTTAAATACACACTGATCCACATATATAATGTATATATATATAATTAAAAAAAAATAATATATATACACATACTGTATATAATATAAAAACTGATTAAATTAAATAAATCCAAAGGCATTTTATCCTATATATTATCTTATAACTTGTATTTTTACTGCTTAAATACACACTGATCCACAAAAAAAGTAATTAATATTCATACAATAAATTAAATAAATGCAAATATATATTTTATATTTTATCTTTTATATATATATATATATATATATATATAATACACATAGTTATGTGTCAAAATGCCCATCTTTGCGAGTATCCTCGTAAACAGTTTCTTAAATGAATGTTAATAGTTAAAGATAAAGCATGTGTTAGGCTATATGAGATCCTTAGCCTATATGATGAGATTTTAAAAGGATATTCACCCAAAAATGAAGATACTGTCATCATATACTTACCCTCAAATTGTTCTAAACCTCTATGAATGTCCTTTTCATCCTCAACATAAAAGAAGATATTTTGAAGAATGATCGTAACTAGTTTCTGGTCCCAACTGACTCCAATAGTGTTTTTTTTTTTTTTTCATATATGGAAGTAGTGAGGGCCCAGCAACTGTTTGGTTACCAATATTGTTCCAAATATATTCTTTTGTGTTCAACAGCACGAAGGAATCTCATACAGGTTTAGAACATTAACAGAATTTTCATTTTTGGGTGAACTATAATGTAGCCTAATATAGCTGCTGTTACCATTTGTGTGTTACTACTGTAAATATATATTCAATTATTATTGGATCTCCTTCAATACTTTCAGAATCTTTACTTATTAAAACGATTTTGTTTCTGTATTTTAAAATATATGTTTTATATTAACACATTTTAATGACAGCATATTTATTGGGAAAAAAATGAGTACTTTTATTTTTCAAAATAAGCAGAAAATAGTACAAACTTTGCTAAAGTGATTGTTTTGAACAAGTATTAACTTAGACATTATTTAAAAAAAAACATTATTTTAGCTGAAGTATTTGTATAAATACCGTGAGCCTTTTACCCCGTGTGTGGGGTAAAAGGCCCCTCTTGCCACCTCATACATTTATACAATTTTTAAACAAAATAAACAACTTGAATGATTCATTTTCACACAAAATCTGTTGCTCCATTAATGTTCAATACAACGTGTGCGGTCTTAATGCGGCTCTGCCTGTGCATAAATACCATGTGCGATCAGTGCGTCAAGAGCACTCATACACGCATTATTATAATGGACTGACACGTGCTTACTGTACGACTCCTGTACGCCACCGCAATCGTCTTTACCTTGATTGCAGTCTTCATCTATCAAAACTTTACTAGTGAGACTGGTTATCTAGTCGAGAAACCGTAGTTTGCATCTGGCCATACAGCGGTGGGATGTGTTGAGAATACTTCACACAGCGCGTGTGACGTGTGAGAGCTCGCGCTCTTCAGAGACAATCACAGAATATGACAGAGCTTGTGTTTTAAAGCGAAACACACTGGAAAGAATAATTCACTTAAAACGCTTGCGAGTATCTGTTCTCTCTGCAATCTCTGATGTAATCAGCCTGGTTTCCTTTATATTAGCGCTGTTTTGGACGGATTGTTTGAATGCATTTACTTACCGGATCATTGAACTGAAAACTTTCCCGGAGTTTAGCGGCTTAAA